TTGTATTGTATTGTATTGTATTGTATTGTATTGTATTGTATTGTATTGTACCTTGCTGGCCTTGAGTGTGACCAAGGCTGGCCTTGAACCTTCCACCTCCACCTCTGAGTGCTGGTTTTATAGATATATGCAGCATTCCTACTTTATGAGGTGCTAGGGATCAAACCTGGGGCTTCATTCATGCTAGGCAAACACTTCACCAGCTGTGCCACACTCTAGATCTATCAAAGTACAAAAACATTCGTGCCTCCCCAGTCTATGCTATAGGAAACATGAGGCAAAATCCCCCATTTTACCCCTCACCGCTCACAATGGTCTCTACAGCTATCGCTTACTGGGTAGAAACGAAACATCTCTTACAGCTAAGGTGCCAGGCACTCCTACATTGCCATCCTCAGTAAACCCAGATTCCTGTGGCCCCGATGCTCCCTCATCAGAGGTCCCAAGTCAATACCTGAACAAACTCAAAGGTGACCCCCTCGCCTGCTTCCTGGCACCAGCTCTGCAGCTGCTTCTCGAAGGCCTGAAGGAAGGGATGTGAGCTGAGCCTCTAGGACACGACTGAGAACCCAGGCTGTCTCCTCCCTCAAACCCGGGTGGAGGTGGTACCTTCATGTCTACGTCTGGTGCCACTCGGAAGTCAAAGCTGGCGCTCATAGTAGCAGGTACCACGTTGTAGGCCACGCCACCTTCTAGCTTAGTCATATTCACTGAAGTCACGGCCCCCTCCTTCAGGTGAGGATTCGACTGCAGCCTGCATTGGCGCAGCAGGGAGCGGGGAGGCAGAAGATAGGTGTAGCAGATAAAAGAAGGTAGCACAAGTCTCCCGTCTTTCACAGCCATCCAGAGCCGCCCCCACGCCCCACGCACTTCCTAGGCTGCCTTACCTCTGCTTTTCCTTCTCCCGGAATGCCAAGATGGAGCTTATAACCTTATGCTAGGAGAGTATGAGGTGAGATGTGAGAGCAGCCCTAGGACAGAGCCTCCCTAATGCCCAGACTCCCCACGGGTTACACACCAACTTCTCTGCTGCTGTATCCTCGATGAAGCGTGAGGCGTGGCCTGGCTTCCCAGTGCTGGTAACCCGGACCCCTGGGAGGAAGAGGGTTTTCAGCATGAGAGAGCTGGAGACTCAAGGAGCCCAACAATGGGCCCAGGTCTTTCCCAGATTCTGAACTCTGAGCCCATGGCACAGAGCAGGATCCTGGCAACAGTTCAGCACCTGCCCTCAGAACCCAGGAAGGAAAAGAGCTGGGAGGCAAAACTCTCCATGCCTCAGGCATCAACATCTCAGAGACCCTGTACTGGGCAAAGGTCTTTCTGGCCGATTTTACACCTGGCTAGAAGTGGCTGTTGAGGGGTGAGATGAAGCCATTCCTTAACTGAAGCCGAACAGCGTAGGGAAAGGGTGGTGCACAGTGGGACTGGTTGCTCTGGTCATCTGGCCTGGGGGACTGCTATAGGAAAGGAGACAGAAAGTGACACCCCCCCCCCCCACACACACACACCAAACCCATACTCACACCAAGGGCTCCGTTCACTATAAAAGACGGTGAAGGCATCAGTGGGGTTGGCCAGGCCTGAGAGAGAAGTTGGTAACACAGGGTGGAGTGACACAGCTTCCCCTTGTAGCCTGGCTACCCCTGGGAGGCTTGCCAACCTGCTCACCCTCATCCAGGGCAAAGCCTGCCTGCAGAGCCTGGAACTCGGGCCGCTTCACAAACAGCTCCATCCCTTTGTGACCTCCAACCTCCTCATCTGTAAAAGTGTCAGGGGTGTGATGTGATGGGAGATGCCTCACAGCACACCTTCCTTCCCCTTCTGAAAGACGCCCCTCCCCAAACCACTCCTACCAGGCACAAAGGTCAAGTGGATGGTTCTAGGGAAGTGGCAGCCATCACTCTTCAGCCTCCTCACAGCCTCCAGGTATCTAAATGAGCAGAGGTCAAGTGCTAAGGCCACGCACGGTGTAGTTTTGTGCCCTTGACACTTTCCTGCCATGTTATTTCAGGGACCCCAGAAAACTCCTAGCCTTTTTCTGGGCCTGTTTCACCATCCAAGAGTGGTCATGGCAGTAATTTCTGCTTTAGATAGTAAGATGGTCCCTGCTCGGCTTGGGGGTTTTCAGCAGGTATCTGTGCTCTTGCTGAATCCAGCGGGTGGTGGTGGTGGTGGTGGTGGTGCTGGGAACGGAGGGCACTCACTGGATGCTAACACTCTTCATGTCCTGAGCTCCCCTTCCATAGATGTAGCCCTCGGAATCCTTGAAGGCTTCAAAGGGATCATGATGCCAATGTTCCTGGGAGCAGAAGTGGGAAGGGGGGCCCGCCATAGAATTGAAATGGTGAGAGAGCTAGAAGGCTAAAGAAAACAGCTACCCGATTTGCATCCCCTATTTGTCTCCTGCCTACACCCCATCCCTAGCACAGAATCTTTACTGGACAAAGACTGCTTATATGGAACCATGTCGTATGAATGTTAAGCTGGTGGTGGATATACCAGGCGTAGTGGTGTAGGCTTTTAATCCTGGCACTCAGGAGGCAGGGGCAGGCAGATCTCTCGAGTTTGAGGTCAGTCTAGTTTACATAGTGAGTTCCAGGACAGCCAGAACTACATGGTGAGACCCTGTCTATATCTCAGGAAAAAAAAAAAACAAGAAACAAAACAAAAAGAGTAGCGGTGTAATGAGCACCATGGGTCCCAGGGGAAGGGTGAAGTCCACACGGTATCTGCACACACTCCTTCACGCATACCTTGAAGACAGGTACCACATCGGTGTGGGAGTTTAGCAAGATGGAGGGGAGGGAAGGGTTGGTGCCCGGCCAGGTCAGCACAGTGATCACATAGCCTGGCATCACCTGCAGGGAGTCAGGACAGGAAGCAGTCAGCACCAGGTAACAAGGTGTGCCCAGCCCATGGCCCCCATCCGCTCAAGCCCCAGACTCATCTCTATTTTCTGACAGCTCAGATCCAGCTGGTGAGCCTGCTCCTCAAGGAAGGCGATGGCACCGCCTGGGAAAACGGAGAGCCTTGTTACAGCTTTTGCTGGTACCCAACAGCCCCAAGATAGCAGCTGCCTTCCAACACAATTCCAAATCCCCAAAGACACCTGCATCTGTGTCCCCAAGGAATACGATGTTCTTGGCCCACCAGTGACCTTCTGGGAAGGTCAGGTGCTACCCCCCTTCTTTCTTTCTTTTTAATATATCTTTTTAAAAAATATTTATTTATTTATACACATGAGTTCATGCCTGTGTGACAGAAGAGGGCATCAGTTCACATAATAGACAGTTGTGAGCCACCATGTGGTTGCTGGGAATTGAACTCTGGACCATCTGAAAGAGCAGGCAGTGCTCTTAACCACTGAGCCATCTCTCCCGCCCAGGTGCTATCTTTCTTTAAGATAGAAGAGTCAGAGATAAAGAGACTCACCCAAAGTCCCTCCACTCCTAAATCTTACAACAGGACTTGGACGCATGCATAAGGCACCAAGCCGATTCCCTAAGGGTTGTGGCCTTTATATATAACTTCGGTAGATAACTTTGGGGGCTGAGATGTGGGTGGGGGCCGGGGGTGGGTGAGGTGTCTCTTTGTGGTTGCCCCAGTCTCCCTACACCACTCTGGCCTTTGAGGAGTGAGGTGAGGCTATTCCTTCCTTAACTAGCTGCCAGGAGTCACCATGTAAATCTGAATGGCATAGGGAAAGGGTGGGTGCACGAAAGGACCCCCAGCAGAGTGGGGGTCTACCGGATGGCAAGGGTTGAAGGTAGCATACAGCACACTCCCAGCCCTTGAGGCCCCGTCACAGGTCCTAAGACCCTGCATTCTCACCATAATCAGGACTAGGCTGCACAGTGCAGATGCGCAGGTACTGGCGGAAGAGCGTCACGGAGGGGTGCTCCGACTGGGGACCCTTGGTGGTCATGGCGCCGCGTGCTGTCTTGGGCAAAGTGAGTAGCTAATTACTATCCCCCTCTCCCGCCCTGCAGCTGGGGGCCGGGGGGCTGCACCTGCACTCTGGCCTTTGCAATGTTCTTCGGGGAGGAGGATACCTTGGTTTGACTGCCCCATTTTGTGCCAGACGGTTTTTAAACGTTTCCTCATTTAATCCCCAAAAGAGTGCCGGGAAGTAAGTTTGTGCCTCTGAGTGCCCGCTTGACTCAGAGAAAACTGAGCCAGCTAAGGAAGTAGGAGAACTTGGTTTGAAAGAGACATTGACTCCCGCCACCCTCCTCAAAATATTTCCCCAAAAGGCCGGGCTTTCATGCCACAGAGTCACGGAGCCCCATACCCCTCAACCCCTCCTTAAGGTCCTCCAACCTTGCTCTCTCCAGGTCTCCGTCCTGTGCTGTCCTCTCTCCTCAGGGCCCTCGCGAAATTGGGGCCGGGACTCAAGAGTCCACCGAGGTCGAAATCTCAAAACCACCCCGGGGCCACCCACCCACCACGTGGCCAGGGCGGGGTGAAGGGGCGGAGATCGGGGACTGGAAGGGCTGTCCCAGTTCCCTTGGAGGAGCCGGCGCCGGCGCCGTTGTCCCTGCCTGGCTCTGCGTGGGGCCTGTGCTGGGTAACTGGAAGCTTGGATCCGTGATCCACCTCCTAGGTCCTCCTCGCTGAGGCCAGCCCCGCCCTCCCCACGCCCGGAGCCTGAACCGCAAGCCCAGAACGGTCCCGCCTCCAGAGGCTCTTCCTCCCCCTGCAGCCTCCGGATAGGACAAGAAAAGAGGGCGGGGCCTGGCGCTGAAAGTCCTCGCCGCTAGGGTTGGGTACTCAACTGCTCTCGAGGTGTTGAGCCGCGAAGGGTATCCTGTGTCCCTTCTGTCCTTTTCTTGCCGCCTCCACTTCTCAGGGAGGCCCTCCCAGATTGCCTCATTCCTCCAGTACTCTCTGCCCTCCCCACCTCGTGAGTTCCAGGATGCCGACGTGCCCTTGGGGTTCTAACCCAGGCCAGGCAGAGTGGGCGGCTTGGCAAGGTGCCACAATCATAAATGAAAGCTAAGTGCCCGGATGGGAGAACCGGTGACTCTGTGAACGCGTTTCGGTGTGGCCGAATTTGTGTGACGGTGGATATAACCATGTGTGTGACATTATGAGTCCGAGATGGCGGCAGTGCCGAGCGTCATGGGCAGTCGGGTGAAGCAGGTGCAATTGTGACATCTCTCGGGGGGGATGGGAGATGGGGAAGGAGCACCTTGGCTGACCCTACACCGAACCCTAAGCTCTTCTGCCTCCTGCGGAGAGAGAAACAGAGCCGTAGCTGTTCCTCTGGCCACCAGCGATCGGGGTGTAACTGTAGCTGCTCACTTGTGTACCTAGCTGTTCTTTGTACTCCCAGGAGGTTCTATCCTCTGTTCCAGAGACTGGAACAGCTTGGGGGAAAGGGCAGAAGACTTTAACCCTGGGACCAACAGAGCAGGCAGGGAGGATCAAGGCGGGAGGGGTAGAGGTCCATCCCACCCTCTTGGGGTTGAAGTCTCTGGCTGCTCATCCCTAATAAGGAAGCAAACAGGTTTGATGGTTCAACAACGTTGTTTTAATTCTTAAACACACTCCGCCTCCACCTTCATGTACTCTGCATTCCTTTCACACAGCCCTGTTGGGAAGTGAATGGCAGCCACAGTAGCTAACACTCACCTCTCGGCACCCCCCTCTTAAACACATCCAACCTCACTATCATTTCCCCTGCTAGATACTGTCACTATGCATTTTACAGAGAAGGAAACTGAGTCACAGAGATGAGAGCACAGATTATGAGGAAGTAGTGCACTCACACTTAGACTCCCAGGAGCCCCCCCCCCCCCCCAGTCCCAAAGCAGCTGCAAACTTGCCTCCCACTCCCAGCTTCCCCACACAAGTCAGGAAACAATGTCACTCTCCAGGAGAGACAAAGAGGCTTTTCTTTATTGTGCCTGTGAAATGAAATCAAAAGTCCTGGCTAGGCTTGATCCTCTATCCCCCAATCCCAGTCAAGGACTACCATCCTGGAAGAGGAAAGAGATGGTCTAGACCCTTCAAGGTCAGTCCTGGGAAGTGAGTTCATTCAAGGCAAATGGTCAAGGAAGGCAAGAAGGGCGAGGTGGAAAGCTTCCGGCTTGTGGAGGTAGCAGGCATGGCCCGCGTTATGTAGCTTTACCACGGAGTGGTTGGGCAGGTGGTGGAGCTGCCGAAGTGACTCTCGGGCCAAGGTGTGGTCCAGTTCCCCATAGAGGATAAGAGTTGGTGTCTGCAGGGGAGGCCAGAACCTGCTGTTTCTGGGGCTTGGAAAGGACTTGCCCCACAAGCTATTCCTTTATGGAGCCTTGTCCCCACTCTACCTCCATCCAAATGCAGGGACCAACACTCTAGGACTAAACGCCTACTCCCCACCCCCACCTCACATGACACAAGCCAGGGGTAGGGTGCCAGGGACTTTGCAGATCATTGTCTAAGTACCTTCACGGCCCAGAATTGTTCCCGTGTGTAATTCCAGGTGGAGGTGGGTGCAATGGGCACAAATCCACGTAGCCGGTGGTGGCTTCGCATCAAGAAGGGTAGGGCATAGCTGCCACTCAGCGAGGGGCTCACCAATACAGCATTCTGCACCGCTAGGTCCCGCAGCACTCGTTCCAGCAGCTCCGCTCGACCCGTCTCAGTGCTTGTCTCCTTTGAAGATGCTGAGTTCCCAAAACCTGGGAACAGTGGCAGGCACTGCCTGAGAGGAGCCAGGAAGTGCTCAAGACTTCCTGCCTACCACAGTGGGAGAAAGAGGTGAGGACGTAGCACATTCTACCCCAGCTATTCTTTTTTATAATATAATAAAGATGTTAGAAAAACATCTTTCCAGCAGGTGGCATGGCTCAGTGGGTAAGAAGCCGTGCCGCACTCACCTGAATGATTTGAATCTGATCCCGTGTGGTGAAAGGAGGAAACTGATTCACATGAGCTTTTAAGCCGATAAGACCTGGTGCTAGGAAGATGCAAGAAATGGACCCCCCCGTGACTGACGGGAGGATAAATCTATATAGCCTTCTGAAAGGTAAAAAACTGTGTGCCCTGACCCACCATTTGTCCTTGATAGCTAGAGAAACTATTACCCTAAATGCTTTGTTTTTGTTTTCATGACAGGGTTTCTCTGTGTAGCTCTGGCTGTCCTGGAACTTCACTTTGTAGACCAGGCTGGCCTCAAACTCAGAGATCCACCTGCCTCTGCCTCCTGAGTGCTGGAGGCATGCACCACCATGCCTAGCTCTCCTATACTTAAAAAAAAAAAAAAAAAAAAAAAAAACATGTCCAAAGAGGTTTGGGTTACATATATTTGGGCATTTCAGGTGACAGTGTTAAAGCTACCGGTTGAGAAATGAGCATGCAAAGCCTGTCCTTGACTATTATGGTCCACGCTGCAGCATTAACAACAGAGAAGGAGGCTTGCAGGACCTGGCTTGATCCACAAGTCATGATGCAGCCAGGGAAATTAAGGTGTAAAAAGCAGACAGGATGCTAATAATCTCAACGGCCTACAAAAACCTGCACGTTGTCTCCGCCTCTCCATCTGTACAGGCGGATTGAACCTAGAGCCTTGCATATGCCAGGCAAGAACCTGGGAGTTATGTTCCCAGGCCTTTTTTTGCTTTTTATTTTGAGACAGGGTCTAAGAGACTAAGTTACCAGGCTACTCTTAAATTCGTTCTGTAGTCTAGGCAGGCCTTAAATCTGGGATCCTCCTGGGCAGCTGGGATTATGGTCTGTGCCACCAGGCCCACCCATGCGTGGAGATGCTTGAAAGTGGGGCTGTCACACTCAGTTCAGAGAGGAAGGAGAAGTGACACTTTCTTTCTTTTAAAGATTATTTATTTTATGTACGAGTACTCTAGCTGCATGTACACCTGCATGCCAGAAGAGGGCAGCAGATCCCAGTATAGCTGGTTGTGAGCCACCACGTGGTTGCTGGGAATTGAACTTAGGACCTCTGGAAGAGCAGCCAGTGCTGCTAACCACTGAGCCATCTCTCCAGCCCCATGATATTGCTTTCTAAGGCCTTTACTTTTTAAAAAAGTATTGATTTTTATTTTTAATTTAATTTGTATATTTCTACATGTTTATGCACATGAATCCAGGTTCCCTGAGAGTCCAGAAGAGGGCACTGGATCCCCAGTGAGCTGCCTACAGGGGTATTAGGAAACAAACTCAAATTCTCCGTAAGAAAGCTCTTGCTCAACTGCTCAACTGCTAAACCACCTCTCTGGTCCCTGGGCTACGCCTATCCACTGCCCCACCCACCTACTCCCACTTTTATGCCTTTTTCTTTTTTCTTTCCTTTCCTTTCCTTTCCTTTCCTTTCCTTTCCTTTCCTTTCCTTTCCTTTCCTTTCCTTTCCTTCCCTTTCCTTTTCTTTTCTTTTCTTTTCTTTTCTTTGTAGCCTTGGCTGTCCTCCTGGGTTTGATTTGTAGATGCAGCTGGCCTTGAACTCACAGTGATCCGCCTGCCTCTGCCTCCCTGAGTGCTTGGATTAAAGGTGTGTACCACCATGCCTGACTCCCATTTTCATTTTTAATTAGAAAAATAACAGCATGGGGTTGGGAGTGTAGTTTAGTGATTGAGTGCCTGCCTAGCATTCATTTTTCCCCCCTCTCTTTAGTTTCTTGAGACAGAGCTTCTTGGTATTATAACTCTGGCTGTCCTGGACTCATGCTAAGACCAGGCAGGCCTGGAACACACAAAGATCACCCTGCTGATCTGAGTGCTGGGATTAAAGACTTTGGCCACCACCGCCTGGCTCAGCCTAGCATTCTTGAGGACCTGGGTTCAATCCACAACACTAGAAACAACAACAAACCCAGAGGATAACACAGTCTGTGTGCACAGGTAAGAGGAAGAGAGGCTGGTGAGGTTGCTTATTGACTGGGTAAAGGGTTTGCTGCCAAGCTTGACAATCTTAGTTAGATCCCTGGAACCCACAAGGTGGAAGGAGAGGACCAACTTCCACAAGTTATCTGCTGACTTCCACAGATGTGCTCTCCCCCAAGGTGGGGGGAGGGGAGGAGCCACAAGAATTACATAGTCCCAAAAAGCACAGTGAAATCCCCTGATGGTTGCTCATGAAACAATCACTTTTCTGTTTTCTCTGTGACATGCAATAATCCACATTGTAGTTTTCAGGGCAGAAAATAAAAACAGGTTTTTATTGTGGTACCTTCTTGTGACCTGAAACTAGTGTGTCTGCGCATGGGACCCACATGGCCCCTGCTTGGCTACCCTTCAAATTCTCCCTTCTGTTGACTGCGCCTCTGTTCCTGCTGCAGCCTGCCCTCTCTAAACTTGAATGCAGGGGTGCTTACCTGGAAGGTCAATGGCCACAGCCCGGTAACCCCTCTTTGACAGTAGCTGCAGCGTGCCCAGCTGCTCCCATGTGTGGGAATTAAATGCCTTTCCGTGGAGAAACACAACTTGTGGCCTGCAGATACACGGGGGAATGTGTGCCATGAGACCTGGACAGCCACCATCCTTTCTTCCCAGGTGTCTTTCACTGGCCCCATCCCCAGGCTCTGAGCCCCATGAGTTGGACTGGGGTCCCTCCACTAAACCCTTGGGTAATCATTCACCTATGTGTCTGCTGGATTGGCAGCGCCTCACGGTAAAAAATTTGAGAGTTGCCTCTGGTGAGACCAGCCAGGACTGTGACATTGGAACCTCTCCAGAGCTGGGGAGTCTGCTCAGGTGGGCCAGGCAGCCCCACATACAGTAGGAGCATGAGTACCAGGCCTAGACCCAGCAGGGCGGCCTGGTACCGGCTCATGAAGATCTGTATCACACAGCCTGGAGGAGAAAAAAGAAAGACAGGCTGAGGAAGACCTCTACCCTTCCTTCTATTGCTCTGGAAGGATGTCTAAATGCTCTTAATGCTCTTATCCACCTACATCTCAAGCCGGGCCAAAGCCCTGGGACAGCCCACTAAATGTTCCTCTGACCGTCATATCTAGTGACCACTATCATTGCTGTGTTAGGTAAACAAGCTCTTCTGGCTGTACCCTCTGTGCTTGGCTTTCCACGTCAAGCACTCAGAGGCCACAGAAAACGCAGGGAACAGATGTGATTATAGTTCTCTGACACGAAGGAATCCAGGCTTGTAGGTGAATTCTCTGCTGCAAGAGCAGCCGGGGAACTGGGACCCAGGGGCTAGTTTCCAAAACACCAGGCCACATGTGTTCTGGAGGAAAACACAGTGTATGGCAGGAGTTGGATGAACTGGAGATGGCGGCGGATGCAGGAGGGTGGGCTGCTAAAGGTCAAAGTGTGCCCAGAGACCTCCACTGAGGGGAGTGCCTGAAGTGATTCTCTTTTCTCACAATGAGTAAACGGGTGCTAAAAACAGGATGCACTATGCAACAGGAGGGGACAGTTCGTGGTCACCCCAACCAGTATGGGCTAGTTCACAGAGAACATGGGGATAAGGCTAAGGTGCAAGATAGTGGGGGCTGGGAGGAGTGAGGCTGGCCTAGAAATGGAAAGGGAAGCATGGAGGCCAGAGAGAATAGTCCCCACTCTCCACCCCACTTATGCTAAATGCTCTCCCTCATGGACTCCTCCAGTCTAGGGCCTTTGTTAGCCAGAGGGCTGGACTCAAGTGGGGAAGGTGGTCTTGGTTTGAGAGTTCCCCTATGCCATGAGTTTCAGTAACTTGGTACTGAACCTGGTACCCAAGCTTCTTGTGAGATTTATACAATACACTCCACCTAAGCTGGTGGGGATGAGATGTCCCTGTCATCATTTATTGGATCTAAGATGAGCATGCCTGTCTTGCTCTGAGGTTCTGGGTGCATTTTGATTGACTGTAAACTGAGCGTGAGGTAGGGCTAGGAGCTGGGACCTGCCTTGGGCCACACCCACCTCTTGACTCTGTGGAACTCTTCTGGAGGCCTCACCCTCTAGCTCCGAAGTCGGACAGTGTGTGGGCAGAGCAGATCCTCCAGTGCTGATGAGCAATCAGGAGCCAGGCAGAGAAAGCCCGCTCTTCTTCCTAACCTGGAACAGCCAAGGATGCAGGCCTCCACTCTTAGTGGTCCACCAGAAGCAAAACCTGTGCGGCTTTCAGGGTAAAGGGGTGGGGTTTCATTCGTTGCCGCTGCAACCCAGGGTGCCCAAGGCTAGACAATGGTAGGGGTTCTAAGGCAGACTGCTCTGCAGGTGGAGGAGGGTGGGAGTTGAACTGTGCTTGCTCTGGTTACTGGAATGCCCCTCTACCACAACACACAGCTGCACACACACACACACACACACACACACACACACACACTGGAATGCCCCTCTACCACAACACACAGCTGCACACACACACACACACACACACACTCACACAGACACAAGAGTCTTGCTTCCACACACTTTTCAAGAAGCTCTCCCCCAAATGCACAGCGGCCTCTTTGTACACACATCGGCCTTACAAAGAGACAAAGTCAGTCTCTTACAATGACACACACAAAATCCCATACACAGCTGTGTTAACAGTTAATACTCCATGCTGCCAGGGAGCTTCTTAAACAGGGAGGTGAATGTCACTGGTCTTTGCTACTTTGTGGGTTCTTTTTTCCCCCCACCCTTTATCCCCTGGTTTCACCCACTATCACTAGATGGGAGAGAAAGAAAGATGGAGGAGAGAGATTCCTGAATCCCCAGAATCTACTTTCTTTTTTTCCTTTTTCTGTTTTGTTTTCTCAAGACAGAGTTTCTCTGTGTAGCCTTGGCTGTCCTGGACTGGCTTTGTAGACCAGGCTGGCCTTGAACTCACAGAGATCCACCTGCCTCTGCCTCCCTGAGTGCTGGGATTACAGAGTGTGTCCAGCTTCGAATATAATTTCTTTCCTTTTGATTTTTCTTTGAGCATGACTACTAACAAACCACAACCAACCAAATCTATTGGGGTGCTAGCATTTACCCTCTGAAAAGTTTCCAGAATTCCAAACATTACACAATTGCCAAAACTATCTACAGATGGCAAAACCATGCCTCTGCTAGAGCACAAGGCAAATCATAGCCACTGTGGTCAGTTCAAAACAGCCCATATCCCCACACCTGGGATGAAAATGAAAATACTTTCTTGTAATAATACTTCTGTGTTATTTAAAGGAACCAAAATTCCAGAATTCTCACTACAGGTGAACAACCAAAAATTAGCTTTTTGAACTCCCTAAAGGGGGCTGGAGATATGGCTCAGAGGTTAAGAGCACTGTCTGCTCTTCCAGAGATCCTGAGTTCAATTCCCAGCAACCACCTGGTGGCTCAAAACCATCTACATGAGATCTGGTGCCCTCCTCTGGCCTGCATGTAAGCATACATGCATGTAAGCAGAACAAGGTATGGTATACATAATAAATACATTAAAAAACAAACAAACAAACAAACAAAACTCCCCGAAACTGACCAGATTCACTAGACACTTCCCTGCCAGAGTAAACAATAAAACTCAGACCAAATAAAGCTAAGCTGCAAAGACCCTGAGAACAAACCAGCTCCCTGAAGAAACCAGCTGAGCTGCCTGGGAGAGGGTTAGACCAACTAAGGCACTTGGGAAGGGCTGTTGAACTGCAGGCAAGCTGCGCAGCGTGCTGCAGGTTCCCAGCTTCTGTAAACCGTCACCCACGCTGGGGTGGGCTTTGGTGACGCAGCTGTCTTTGAGTCATTTCTGCCTCTGCTGTAAGCAACCCCTTATCAATACTCCTGTAGGTAACCCCAATAAAAATTGGTTCACCAAGCTGGATTTTGGTGGTATCCGTACTTTCATCTGTCACGAGCTCTTCATCTGGGATGAGTAGAGAAGTGTGTTTGTCTCCCCAGGAAAAGTTTTGTCACACAACAGTCAGGTACCAGGAAGGCAGAGATAAACACATATGATTTCATATACAAGCCAAGCATGGTGGCCCATGGCTTTAATCCCAGGATTCAGGAGACAGAGGCAGGAGGATCTCTGTGAGTTTGTGGCCTACATAGGGAGTTCCAGGTCAGAGAGACATTGTTTCAAAAAACAAAAAAACCCATCCATACACAGGTATAGCAGCTAGAGAGACAGGAGGATTATAGGTAAACTAGGCTGCTTGGTAGGCACTATCTTCAAGTGAACAAACAAAACCAACACCCACAAAACCACACACAAACTCTCAGAGTATTCAAGCACATAATCATACCCAAGCCTTAAACCACCAATAAACACAGTCCTGGCTTCAGAGTCTAGCGCTCCAGAATTTGAGAGCTCCAGCTACATAGCAAGACCCTGTTTCAAATAAACAACAAAAACTCAGCAACAACAATAACAACAAAGGCAGAAACGAGGGGCTGGAGAGATGGCTCAGCGGTTAAGAGCACTGACTGCTCTTCCAGAGGACCCGGGTTCATAATCCCAGCACCCACATGGCAGCTCACAACCATCCATAACTCCAAGATCCGACACCTTCACACAGATGTACATGCATACAAAACAGCAGTGGACATAAAAATGAAAATAAATAGTTTTAAAAAACTATTATTAAAAAAGACAAATACAAGTGCCCAAACTTGTGATCCAGCTCAGTCAGAAAATGTTAAAGACCTATATAGAAAAAAAAAATATATATATATATATATATATATATATATATATAATATAAAAAAATATATATATATTAATGTAGTGAGATCCCAAACCAAAATACGTAAGGGGCCTGTGTGTTGGCTCAGTGAGTTAAGGCACTTGCTGACAAGATCTAACACCCTGGTTCCATGTGCAGGACCCATAGGATGAATGGAAAGAAACAATCCCCAGAACTGTCCTCTGACTTCCATACACACAGCACTGTATGCGTCTTCCCCCCATAAATAAACAAAACATTAAAAGGGGCACAGTGACAGGCACTCGCTGCCAGGCCTGACCATCTGACTAAGATCCCTGGCACTCTCATGGTGGAAGGATGAACGGACTCCAGCAAGTTGTTCCCTGACTTCCCATGTGCGACCCCCACACAGTATAAATAAATGTTTAAAAGAAAAAAAGGGGGGAGGGGGGACAAACTACAAGCAAGCAAGGACCTGGGGACAGACAGGCCGGGGAAGAAACGCACCAGCCGACGGACACAAATAAACCTTCAGAAACACAGATGTAGACAGGAGCACAGAAAAGAGGCAGGCAGGCAGAGAGGAGAACACCTCCCTCCAACAACCCCTCAGCACCCCTCTTCTCCAAAGCGAAGAGAAGCACCGATACCCAGACCTTCAAGAACACAGACACTTGCACGCACAACACGCACACGTGTTGCCCAACGCTTGAGCCTTCCGCAGGACTCTGCCCCAAGCGGCGGGGACAAGGTTGGCCGACGCCCGGACAATCTGCCGGCCTCCTTCCCGGGGAGACACTCACCGCGCAGACAGGGTGACCAAGCGGGCTCCGGTGAGGCGGGGCCGGGCCTAGGCGGAGCCAACAGCCAAAGCAGCCTGACGGCTACAGCCGTGCCTCCTCGTTAGTAACTAGCCGGCCAGAGTTCGGCCACCCAGGCGCGCCTGCGCAGTACGCAGCTGCACAGGGCCTTGACTGGTTACTAAGGGAGGATCTGGGGCGGTGCCCCCAAAGCCCAAAGGCCCGCCCTCTCGGCTCAGATGATCGGAATTGCTATTGGCCTGAAGCCTGAGGGCCTGGGTTCTTTGCTTTTTGCAGGTGTTTGTTTGTTTGTTTGTTTGGTTGTTTCAAAATGGATAAGGATGTCTTACGATTTAAGGACAGGTCAAGCCTCAGAAGAGTTCCTGGCAGCAGGGGTCTTCTAGTGTAAAGGCTAGGTGATGTTATTGTTAAGCAGCAGCTCTAGGCTTCCGTCCAATCACTTTCTTTACTTTCCCATTCCTCTGCCGCGTGAGAGCCTGAGGTGGCCTCCGTCCGACCCTGGTCTGATCAGTTCGCCTATTCTTGGTTGGCAACCTATGATCAACTGTCTGGTCTGCCCCAGGTTCAGGCACCGGGGCAGGGAGGCCATGAAGGGAGCAAAAGATCGGTACCCTGCCAAGGTTGACATTAACCAGACTCGTTCTATAGAACTGACTCCGTTCTCAGAACTGACTCCGACGCCACCTGGCTGAACTCTGGCGGAGCCTTACACTCAGATGCGTGGGATGTCAGCCTCAGGACAGGTGCACAGCTGTCCTGACACGGGGTGAGGGCGGGGGGTGGGGGGCGGACGGCAGAGATACCAGAAATAGCTTTCGCCCTCAAGGCAGGGCACTTCCGTGTGGGGCAGATCGCTGAGGGTTTCAAGGTCTCCTTCAACCCTGCTCTTGGGGCACACAGGGATGGGGGTGGGCTTGGGGAAACAAGTTCAGAGGAGAAGGAAGAATTAAGGCGCGGACCAGCCTAGTGGTAGCTGTGACCAAGAGAGGGCGCCCAGAACGCCCAGGCCTGTCCCCTCCTCCTGCCCAACCCCTTTCCTACTTCTTTCCCTACCCGCCAACTGCACGCGCCATTCTCCTTGCGGAAGACCGCGCGCATTCCCAGGTACTACCCTGCACGCTCTCTTTGCGTCTCCGCTCAGAGCCCGCCTCCCCCAAGTCTCCTCATCTCGGCTCTCCAGCTCACCTCTCTCCGGGCTGCCCCTCCTTCCCGTGCTTCCTCCGGACAGACCCAGGGATTCGGGAACTGTGGTGCGCCAGTGCACCGGGGGGAGCCTTGGCAGCGCGGGTGACCTCAGCGTCAACTGGTTGGGCTCCAGCGGCCAGGGCGCTGAGCACCCCGCGTCCCTGGCAGTCAGGCACTCCAAAGTCCTTGCCGACCGGTGCATGTGTTTCTGCCTCTGGAAAAAGGGCCTTCATTCCAAACAAACTTGGTTGCACTCTGGCCTGTATTGCTAGTTCACCTACGCAGTCCATAGGGCCGGTTTAGACGAGGCTGACTATGAGCCTGTATCAGGTTTTTTTTGGTTTTTTTTTTTATGCATAGCCTCATTTAATCCTATCCACTGTCTATGAATTAATATTTAATAGTCCAATATTCCAGTTTTACTACCAACAGAAACCTTAACTGGGAGCGATCCACCCAGATTCTTCACTTTTTGCATAGTTTCTCTTTCTTTTTCTTTCTTTCTTTCTTTCTTTCTTTCTCTCTCTCTCTCTCTCTCTCTCTCTCTTTCTTTCTTTCTTCCTTTCTTTCTTCCTTTCTTTCGACAGGGTTTCTCTGTAACCTTGGTTGTCTTACAACTCAATCTACATACTAGGTTGGCCTTGAACCTTGAACTCAGAGATCTACCTGCCTCTGCCTCCCAAGTGCTGGCACTAAAGGCATGCATCAGCACTGCATGGCAGTTTGTTTTTTGTTTTTTTGTTTTTTTTCAAGTTCTTAAGTGACATTTCTAGTTCTGCCATGTTTCTGTTAAGGCACTTGAAGCTCAACATCACCCAACCAAGCAAAAAAGGACAGACCTGCTTTTCCTCCTTCAGATCCTAGAGACCTTAGCCACCTAATGCTTCTCGCTGCCTCCTGGCAGGGCATTCTTTCATTCCTCATCAGCTGGGCTTTGAACTGCAGGCACGTCACGTCGGGCATGGCCAGTGTGGATCAGCGTGAGGGCACCATCCAGGTGCAGGGCCAGGGCCTCTTCTTCAGAGAGGTGAAGCCTGGCAATGGGCAGGCTGCTCGCTTCTCTGTGCTGCTGTTGCATGGTATCCGCTTCTCCTCGGAGACCTGGCAGAACCTGGGTACTCTGCATAAACTGGCCGAGGCTGGCTACAAGGCTGTGGCCATTGATCTGCCAGGTACTGGTGGGGTAGGCTTGTGGGCCAGGGTTGGGGAAAACTTGAAGATGGAGGAACCAGAAGGATTTAGCCATCCTGGGCCCTGAGCGTGACAGAGTTGGGTACATAGTGCATGTCCCTTTGAACTCGACTAGTCATGCTCTAGAGGGATCGATACACTGCTCAGCTGCTTTTCACTGTGACTGGGCCTGTGTCACAACGCCTCTGGGTTTTGCTTCCCTTATCTGTAGTGGTGAATACCACACTTCTGCTGGTCACTGTCTCCGATGAGCACAGAATGAGGTTATCTGTGTGAATGTATTAGCTCGTACTTGACAGGTAGTCATGGCTGCTCAGCTGATTGGATGTAAAGGACCTTGACAGAGCCATACTGACAGGCTCTTGGGGGAGCACTGACAAGGAGTCTTCCATAGTCTTAGGAAACACGGCAGGGCCTGAAGGATAGCTAAGTCCCTGGTAACCTATTTGCAAGCAGAGTCCTTGAAGTGGGCACCCAAGGATGTGGGAACAGCTCCCAGATTGCCTGTTGTAACTTGGATCACGAGGCCCCACCCCTTTTAGTGTCTAGTGAGAAATTGGAGGCATAGACTATAGACTATACAACAGGGTCTAATCCCCTCACGGGCTAGAGCTGATATGGTTTCAGGTTTCAAGGGCAGATCTTCAGCCTAGCCAGGCTTGCTTTCAACCGTGGGTTGGGCAGGCTTCAGTATGAAGGTGTACACTAATGCTGTTAAGGTGTGTGTGGGTGTGGGGGGGGGGTGACTGGTCCCAGTGCAGAAGCACTTTTGTCAGCTCTGATCCTCCAAGACTCGGTTTGGTTCCTTTTAAACAGTTAACTTAATTTCCACAAGTTTAAATGGTGAGAACATTCCTTGTCCCTTTTAAACAGAGGGGGAAAACAGGGCAGTTGAGGAGGGCTGAGAGGCCTTACCTCTGGTCATCTTTATAGTAAATGGAGAACTGGACTCAGGCCTAGCCCTGGTAGACTCAAACTCCAGAGATTCTTTTCAGGACACTGTTAGTATGAACACAAACATGGAAAGAATTGTCTCCTTCTTGCCACAGACATAATACACTGGGCTATGGGTGTGAATGAATTCAGTCCACTGGGTGTTACCTGAACCTGGGCGCAGAGAGATTGACCTTAGGAGCACTTGCTGGAAGAAGGGACCCTTCCCATTCATTGCCTTTGTCCCCTCTACGTTTGAATCCCTGCAGGTCTTGGGCAATCCAAAGAAGCAGCAGCCCCTGCCCCTATCGGGGAACTGGCCCCTGGCAGCTTCCTAGCAGCTGTGGTGGATGCCTTAGAGCTGGGGCCCCCGGTTGTGATCAGCCCATCACTAAGTGGCATGTACTCACTGCCCTTCCTCGTGGCCCCTGGGTCCCAACTCCGGGGCTATGTACCGGTGGCTCCCATCTGCACAGACAAAATCAATGCTGATGACTATGCCCGTGTTAAGGTACCTTTGTGTGTGTGTGTGTATGTGTGTGTGTGTGTGTGTGTGTGTGTGTGTGTGTGTGTGTGTATGTGTGTGTATGTGTATGAGAGAAAAAGACCAAGATGGCATGTGGAGCAAGGCAGGGTCCATCCCTGCCTTCTCATCTGGGACCTGGGTAACCAATGGGGTGGTTTCTGGGGAGATCTGACCACCTAGCTCCCTTTGGTTGACTTAGCAGATTACTATGCCAACGCCTGTATAAAGCCCATGTCCCCACCCACTGAATCAGCTTGTCCCACGAAAATGGTGATGAGGGCTGAAGCTAACCTTTAGAAGGCTGGGGCTGGGCTAGTGTGGAAAGCCCCTTGATCCTTTCCTCCTTTCCTTTCAGACCCCAGTTCTGATTGTATACGGAGACCAGGACCCCACGGGTTCCTCCAGCTTTCAACACCTGAAGCAGCTGCCCAACCACAGAGTACTGGTCATGAAAGGGGCAGGGCATCCCTGTTACCTGGACAAGCCTGATGAGTGGCATACAGGGCTTCTGGATTTCCTTCGGGGGCTTGCCTGAGACTTAGTCCTGCAGATGAGGGCGACAGATGGCCTGTCCTGAGCTCTCTCGCTGTCTTCTCCTGGTCTCTGGCTTGTGCCTCACCTGTAACAGGTCTGTCTATACATCTGTCTGGGTTCCTGTCATTTCTACTTTTCTCTTGCAGTGACAGATCAGATCAAGGAGGTAAAAATCAAATGGAAGAAGCCTCAGATTCAAGGAAGAAACCTGATTGTGGGTAATTCATGAGCTTCTCCTACAGGCTCCTTTGCTTGGCTTACACTTTTCTGCCTCACTTTCTGCTCCACCTCCTTCAGCTGCTCTGCAGGACAGCCATTCCCTCTACTCCCCTACCTGTCTTAGGCCACAGATAACATACATGTGTGAATGCTTGTTTAGATCCATCCCGCACACAGGTCCACAATACTGGACTGACATATTCTTGTGAGGCTTTGCATCACGTGCTGGCACAGGTCCTTTCAGTCCTCTGTGAAGGGAGGTGGCACTCTCTTATGAGCCGGTGCTTGTAAGAGACCCCCTTGCCAGGATACGGATGTGGCCAGCCCTAGATTTCTCTTACCTACACGTTGCAACTGGTCCCAGACCAGAACTGCTTCCTCAGAAGGGGAGGTGCACCCCTCTGCCTTTCAACTCTCCCCATTTTTCTCTTCCCCTTCTTTTTGGGGCCTGCACACCTCCCCAGGTCATCAAGCATTTTGCCTGCTATGAGGCCTGGGAGTGGGTTGGGGAGACCCACTGTGGAGGTCCCTGAAATAAAGTGATGCAATTAGACCTCACATGCTTTTGCTGTCTCCCGAGCGCCGCCCCTCCCCCTCCCCCTGGGGACCGCCACCGTGGGCTCCTCCCCCACCCTGGCGGGACCAGATGGTCCCCCTGCCCTTTGTCCACTAGGCCAGATGGAGGGAAAGGGAGGTTGGATTCCCCTCCCCACCCACACACATCCAGGTGCCAAGAGACTCAGCTGAGGGGGGAGGTGGAGGTCAGTGGGACCCGCATGAGCCGATTACTGAAAGGGGGAGACTATCTGCTCTGGGATGGGGGAGGAGCAGGCTCAGTTCCCCCCACCCTCCCCCGAACACTCCTATCCTTTTCCTAGTAAAGGATTTAATGGCCCTCGGTCCCAAACAACCCTTGCTCCGAAAGGAATTTAGCACTGGATCTGAGGGATCACGGGACAGGGTACTTATGGACCACACGGGCTCTCAGGCCCCTCCTCCAGCTGGTAGGGTAACCTGTGCTGGGCTGACCGGGGCCGAGCTGTAGGGAAACCGTAGATGGCGGGTCTTGGTGGGATGGACCCTGGAGTGAAGGAGGTTGAAGAAGCAAGAACCCGGTCAGGGCGCAGGGCCGTGGGACAGAAGCCGGGAGGTGCGGCCCGGGCTGAGATGAAGGCTTCGGGGAGCTGGGCAGGAAGAACGGGCCGAGAGAGCCACACAGGGAGGATCCCGGGGCCCGGGTGAGCCGCAGGAGAGAAGGGTCGATCGTTCCCTCCCGGAAGCGGCGCCGGCCGCTCGGGGCGCCGTACCGAGCGGAGCGGGGCGGGGCGGGGCGGGGCGGGCGGCTGCGGCACTGAGGCTGCTGGGGCGGGGCCGCCGCGCTGTAATCGGATCCGGGGAGGGGGCGGGGCGGGGCCGGGCCAGGCGGGCCGGGGGGTGGGGGTGGGGGGGCGCGGAGCCGGGCTCCGGGCCGGCCGGGCTCCGCGCCTGTCAAACCCCTCATTGTTCGCAGCTGATGTCACTCGCAGTTGTGAGCGGCCGCCTTTCCCGGGGACAATGTGGGACTGAGCGGCCCAGCCGCCGCTGCCGCCGCCGCAGAACAGCCCCAGCGAGGTAAGGCGCGGACCGGGCGGGGCACCGCGGGCTATGAAGTTTGGGGGTTCGCGGGGGGGGGGGGGGGAGTCCGCTCCGGTGTGCACCCGACCGCGATCCTTGGGGCCACTGCGAGGAACACGTTTCCCGTCCTATACGGCAGAGGCCTGCACAGGTGGGGGGGCGTTGGTTTTCCAGGGGAACACCCCACTTCAGGGAGGGGTTTCTTGGACCTCAGGTACCAGGTTTGCGGCTCTCATCCTATTTGCAGTTTCTGTCCTTTGAGCTTGCTCTTAGTTCTAGACCTCATGCCCCAGGTTCGGGTTCTACTTCGTCTCTGTTCTCATCTGCCATTCTCTGCAGCTTCTGGCTCTCACACACCCCTTCCCATTTTCTGCAGTCCTTAGAGGAGCCAGACACAAACCTCCAGGCCAAGGGTGGATGGAGATGATAGTTGGGAGCACAAAGTGCTCTCCCTTTTCCTGTGGCTCTTCATCTCCAGCTCTGACCTAGCTTCTTGTCTGAGGTACTGTGGGGTGAGGGTGAAGGGGCTCTGCCACTTACTTCGACCTGGGCTCGTGCATGCATGGCCAGGAGAGGGAGGTGCCCACCTCCTCACTCTCCTAACCCAGGCCCGCCATCTTGAGACCTGTGGCACCCGGGGCCCCGCCCCACCCTGGCACCCAAGGGAGTGGTCTTCAAGGGGATGTACCTTAGTCCATTTACATCCCTTCTCTCAGAATGGGTGGCTGTGGGTCCCCACCAAGCCAAGGATGGTTACCTTCTTGCTGAACCAAAAAGGCACGTGTCCCCAGGGTCCCATCTTCCCCGTATAAAGAGCTCTTAGACCCCAGGCTTTAGTCAGGAGTTGACCTCTGGTTCTCAGTGTTCAGTGAGGTCACCCTGGTGGCCTCAGGGCCAACACCTGGGGGGGTCTATTGTTTCCCCATTTAAGAATATCATCCCTCTAGGTCCTGGAACCCCCCTCAACTTTCAAAGCACCCCTATCCCAGCCCCCACCCCCTAGCCTTCATCAGCATGCAGGCTCAGGCTGCCCAAACACAAGGGGATTGTTCTCTTTGCATGCTCAGGGTGGGGGGCTGGGAGCGCGGCCCACACACCCTGGCAGGCCCAGGCCGAAGAGAGGCTGGCTTGCCCCACCCTATGTCCCCAGACAGGCTCTGTCCACCCTCCTACTCTCATCACTGCCCTCCAGCCTCCATCACCACTGCCTAGCTCTAGATGGAAGGGGCTCTGAGCTGTACAGGTACCCACGGGTACTGCTGGCCTGCCTCTCTCCCATGCAGTTTTCTAAACAACTCCCTTCCTCCCTAGGCCTCAGGTTCCTCTCTTGATTGGTGAGGTTTTTCCAGTTGTGATTGGCCGAGCCCACCTCAGTGTTGGGAAACCTATCTCACACTCCAGCATTCCCACCAGCTCCTCTTCCTGCTAGGGGACCCACTCTGATTCCTCAGAACTCTCAGGTTCCTCACTTAAGCAACATGCCCAGGAAACCAGCAGACTCAGGGGCTGGGATGCTGAACTTGGAATTCTGACCAGGCAAGGCCTGACTCTGCCCATGCGCTTAGTCCCTTAGTCCCAGGATTCTGAGGTGTGCCGGTTTCCCAATGTTCCAAGGCCTGTGAGCCCTAACTCCTCCCCCCTTCCCCAGGGCCAGGTCCTGTCTCAAATTTCCTATTCTTCTGTAGCAGAAAGATAGGCTCAGAAATGCCCACTGGGCCTCCTTTGACTTGCAGCCATGCCTTTGAGAAGCACGGAGGCCAGAGGAATTTGATTTGATTTGAAAGGTTGGGGAGGGCTCCATGGAGGAGGAGGCATTTGAGGAGAATTTTGCCAGAGAGTGAAGGGGATAAGTATTTCAGGCTGGAATTGTCAGCCAGCAAAGTCTCTGTCTGAGGCTTGGAGGTGCTAGGCCTCTTTTGTGGCCTGGTATGTATGAGGGAGGGTTGGGGTAGAGATGCGACAAGAGATGCTGGTAAGGGCTGGACCATGGAGGCCTCCATTGCTGGTGCATAGAGGTCAGTTTTATCCTTTGGGTCCTAGGGAATCATGGGTGTTTGTTAAGTAGCAGAGGGAGCACACACTCTTCAGCATGTAGAGTAGAAATTAGAGAGCTCTTTGAACTTGGATAGACAGTACCAGCGAGCAGGTCCTGAGCCTGCCTTGGTTTCCCTTGGTTGTGGAGACTCTTGGGAGTCTCTAAGGAGGGCGTAACATTTCTGGCACCTACTAGTTTATCAGCTCCTAATCCATCCATGTTCCTCTTCCCTGTCACTTTACTTACAAGACAGGCTTAAATCAAGAAACCAGAGCCTGGAACTTTCCCCTCTCCTCCCTCCAAATTAGGGATAATTGACTACCCTGGGAGGCTGAAAAGCTGAGGCTGGGCCCTATTGGTCTAAGGATGCTGGGCAGTTTTGTGGAGACCAGGCTAATCAGCAAGGGTGAGCATGACCAGCGTAGGGGATGGACAAGGGAGCAGAAGCTCTCAAGACTGTTAAACCCCTCCCCAAGGCCTAATGTCCACCCTCTTGCCACACCCTGCCATGCCTGATGCTTTACCATTCCCCAGCATCATCGGGTGTGGCCAGTATGGCTGTTTTTGGAGTAAGGATTGGAGGAGACTCTGCTAGGTTAGGGTTGCTAAGGGGAACGTGGTGAGCATGAGCTATGGGGTGAAGTTGGAGATTGGATTCTCTCAACCTCCCCAGCCCAGGTGGGTCCACATTATCTAGTGGTCCAGACACACTGGGCAGTAGGGCAGAGGGAATCCCCCGAGGGGCGGGCCAGTCTGCTGGGTTCAACTGGCTCCAGGAGCCCTCCCCTCCCCTGGATTGTTCTTGCACTAGAACAAAGCCAGGGAGGACACTTGATCCCTGCGTGGGGGGGGGAGCTGGCTAAGCCCCCGGCCCTTTGATTGGGCAGCTGTCATGGGAGAGCGACAGCTGGGGGGGAGGGGCAGGAAGGGGGCAGCCACCGTCGCTTACACAGCTGTCACCCCCCCACTTCCAACCCCTTCCAGCCTGAGTGGCAGGAAGCCAGGTTCAGAAGGAGTAGAGCACTTGGTCTGGGGAGGGGGCCTGGGAAGCAAGAAGAGGAGGCCTGAGGTCAGAGGCTTGGTCTGAGCGGAGGATGTTCTGCCAGGGAGCCCTGCTGACCAGAGGGGGGCTGGGCACCCTCAGAGGTGAGCTGGAGGTCAGTGTGGCATGATGTGTGGCTGCCACGTGGGTGGCCCAGCAGAGACCTGGGGCCCACCAGACTGAAGCAGCAAGATACTCCTTCAAACTGTAGTGAAAGTGGGCATCTGGTAATGAATGCCTAGTGGGGCCGCTTATGCTTAGGGCTCTGGGAGAAAGGCCTGGAGGAGGCTCAGAAGCCTTATTCTTTCCAAAAGATAGGAAAGACTCAAGCATGTCTTGGAACAGGGTCACAGAGATACCAACAACTCTCCCTTACTCCAACTCCCCAAACAGTGCAAGTGGGTAACTCCTGATCCAGGACAGGGAAGAGCTAGGCCAAGGTCACGTACTGAATTTGGGGCAGTGGGTCTTTTGCTACAGACCCAGACATCTTCATGGCAAGCCTAGCCGTTGCTTATCCTGGTGTCACAAGAAGTGGGGGAGATGAGGAAGGATTGCCTTCAGATCTCCCACTGTTTATCACCCAGTTAGAGTCCACGGAATTCTGGAGTTTAAGATTATATGGCCGTGCCGTGGTGGTGGCTCTTGCCTTTAATCCCAGCACTTGGAAGGCAGAGGCAGGTGGATCTCTGTGAGTTCAGGGCCACACCAAGAAACCCTGTTTCTGAAAAACAAACAAACAAAAACAGCAGCAGCAACAACAAAAATGATTATATGGCCCCAGAAAAGCCATCAGTCTTTCCAAACAGGATGAATATCTACGGGTCAGGCAGGGGCTCCCCAGGCCACCAAAGTTTAAACGCCGCT